AGAAGAGCAATAGTAATTAAATACATAATAAACAACCTATTAACATTAGAAAAATTAAATAGAAAAAGATCAGAAATATATACAATAACAGACTGCCAAGTATGTCAAAAAAGCAAAAAAGAAACTTAAATACATTTAGCAAGCTGTAGTAGACAAAAAAGCTTATAGAAAAGAATCTAAAAAGTAGTAATAATAATATGAAATAGCTTTAAAGAAAATAAAAAAACCAAAATTCTGTCTTTAGTGCTATATAAGGCACTATTTGGAAAAACAGAAGCAAAAAAAATTACCAATAAAAAGGTTTTGATAAAAAAACTAACTACAAATGAGATTAAAAAAAGAATTAGTCAGATTCTAAATAGACAGACAACACAAAGATATATAGATATAGTAACAAGAACAATATAAAATATATTCTATAATCAAGTATAAAGAGTTTGATATAAAAAAGTACAAGAATAAGAAAAGAAGATTAATATAACAAACAAAATAAAAAAAAAATTTTGAATTAAAGAAATCTAAAGAAAAAAACAGAGTAAGATAAGTTGACAAAAGAAAAAAAGAAGGAAAAAAAGTAGAAAAAATGAATTAAATAAAAAAAAAGCTTAAAAGATAATTAATATACTTGTTACAGAAGGAAAAAGACCCTTCTAATATAGTTTTAAGTAGTTAAACAAGTAGTTTATCTCTAACTAAAATAGTATGACAGGTTGCACTTAAGTACTAATAGAGTAGCTAAGTAATGCTAGACTTGAATATTAAAAAATTTTATATAATTATAAATGTATATCATTTTAAGAATCTTAATAAAGTACTAGTATGACTGTTTAAGATTAAAAATAAAAAATAAAAAAAATATATATATAATAAGTAATATATAATATACAAAATATTAAAAAAGAAGGGGTGTGGTAACCTAGTAAAGTGGTCAGGTTGTCAACTCCCCAAGTGGTAGATTGAGTATTCAAATATCATTGATGATAAAAATTTGGATAATCATCTATATAATATTCATATTATGACAACTGTTATTAATAATTGGGTTAGGATATCTGTAATAGTGGTCATATCAGCATAACTGGCAGGTCATGGGACATCTGTGTAAGTATGGCATTATACAGAAAAATGCAAACTGACAAATTAAGTAGTACAAACACTAGATAAGTTCTTGTGACTGTGTAAATCTGTTAAAATTAGGTAACAAGAAGTTTATTTAGGAAGATCTGAGTAAAGAGATAGCTGAATCTTTGATAACCCTACTGTAAAGGCTAGCCTAGAAAAATGGATACCAAGGTTATAGTACCTAGTCATAGTAGTCAGATAGGCAAGAACCTCTGAGTTGGGAGTCTTGAAGGTATTACCAACTAGGTTGCTAGAATGAATCAGAAGAAAAGAATATTGGGCCAACCTGATATACTGATGGACTGGTCATAGTCCTATACAGGCTATCTGGATTAGGAGTTTGGTAAAAAAGCAGATGAAAAGGCAGGGGTATACTAAAAGTACTGAGGTTATGCTGTAAAGTAAATGCTAGGATCTAAGTGAACTCTACAAGAGCATAGTGGTTTAATGGTCAGCTCTGACCGCAAGTGTTGGTTCTGTCATAATGATACCTAGGTCAGCTGTAAAAATGAATACAGAAGGCTTTAGGGGTTTATTTTGAGAATAAATTAGTCCTAAGGTTGAGATGATAATCTGAGCATCTGGATATGACCTAGTAAGTTAACACAGGTTACAGATTTAGAGAGTTTAAAGTGAAACACCCAAGCAGAGGTGTTAGGTACAGCAATTGGTAGGGAACCTTTGGGCAGACTTCTTAAATAAGTAATATAAAAAAATTATATGTGTAGCCAATTGTATACTCTCCTGTAGTGGTTCATTGAACCACAATACTGATAAGTGATTAATAAAAGTCAAAAGACCAAAGAGGTTACTTTAATACTAAAAAAAAAAAAAAAAAAATTTAAAAAAAACCTCTAGAGTTGATGACATAGTAGTTATGCTTTGAGATCACAAATTACAAGGTTGCCAGTTCAAATTTTAGTAATAACAATTGTAGAAATGCATTTCTAAAAATAGAAACTATAACATCATAGCACTAGGAACCCAGGACATTATCAAACAGACTTATTTCTAGAAAATACAAATAACTTATAATTAAGAAGTTACCTAATAATGAATATAAGTTAGAACCTGATTTGAAATAACTAAACTTATAAGATATAATATAAGACTGAAAGTTTGACAATGAGAGATACTATATGAACTTATAGTAATAGTTAGTTCTGAACAGAGCTTGATAAAATCTTCTAATTTTGGCAAGAGTTGGTGTAATAGATCACTTCTAAAAAAAATAATTGAACTAAAGAAGATTAAGATTCAGTAGCAAAAGAATATTGAAAACATTGTTCAAAGATACATGAAAGATTCAATAAGATTGCTAAAAAAAATATATATATATATATATATATATATTAAAAAAAAATTATATAAAGGAATGAGGTCCTATAGTCTAGTGATTTAGGCACCTTTCTTTTCACAGACAAGATCAACAGTTTAATTTTAGCTAAAAGCAAAACTCTGTAATCTATAGAAATATATGAATATATGTGAAACTCTGTAGCTTAAGTTCATATAAATAAAAAATTAGTATATAAAGAAGTTTTTGAAAAGAAGTTTTCTGATATAGAGAGATGATGATTGATACAAGAAAAGTGATGAATATATCAGAAATAAAGAAAAGATGCACTAGTAGGTAATATGGTAAACATAAAAGAAAACTATGAAAAAGAAATAGATTTACTAAAATTCAAATATCTTTGGCATCAAACCAGCTTAGTAGATATAAGATATACTAAATTGGATAAATCTAAGAGGTAATCTTAATAACATACTTAGTAAGTCTGCATTAAAGATAAATTTGAAGGACTATAGATACTTATTAATATTCAATAAGGTGATACTTAGATATAAATAGTAATTAGATAATCCTAACCCAAATGTCATTATATTAATAATGTAAGTATTGCATATATACATCAAAATAGCATTGAAAATCAAAAAGTTTAAATAGAAGACTTACAGGCAGGTCTCAGGTATAACATCTAGTAAGTAACTTGTGAATAGAACTTTTAATTAGATAATAACTAAAGTTATACATATGACTAGTTGTACTTTTATTAATAGACTATATATATTACATATAATCATATATTACTTAATAAAAAAGACATGCAGGCAAAGTTGCTGCTTCAAACTAAAAAAAAAATTATATATAAAAAAAATGATACATAAAAAAAAAAGATATATAAAAAAAAATATTAAATTATAAAACACAATTAAGCAATACTATATAATCTATCCAACTCTTTTTCAAGAAGACATCTTAACAAAGTATTTTAAAAAAGAAATTTAAGAATTATATTAAAAAAAACTTTCAACATATCATTCATTATCATAAACTTCATCTTTATTTTTATTTTAAAGAACTTTAATATTTTCATATAATAAATTACTACTTTCAATATTAATCTAATATAATAAATTAGTATTAGCTTATATGATATTAAAACTAAAATAAATTATAATAATTTATCAAAAATTGTTTAATATAATGTTTCATATGCTTCATTATATATAAAATAGTTTATGACTAAGAGTTTAATAGAATATCATATACTAAAAGAGCAAACACACTATATTCATTTGTTATAATAAGAAATACTATAGTAAAAATATAGTTTATGTAATTATTGATATTTAATAAATACCTTTATTATTTTGTTTAAAAAGTACATAATAACAATCACTTACTTTTGAGTTTTCTTTTTACTAAACAATATTGATTGCAACCACATTACTCTTCAGAAAAGATAATCTTTTATACCCAAATACACAACAAACTACAGACTTAATGCTTTAAAAAGCTGCACTATGATTATTGATTTTTTAAAGAAACTATAAAATAATAGTAAACCATAATACAGATAAAATTTAACCTTTATATAAGCACAAAATTCTTGAACCAAGGGTGTAATTATAGAGGTTGACTAAAAAAAATAGAAAAAAAAACAAAAAAATTCCGACCGAATGACCGGATTTTTGAAATCCTTGTGTTGCAAATGAAAAATTAGCTTTGTGTAACCTAACGTGGTTACTTCTCCAAGCTATCATGTATGATGTCTCGGTCCTCACTTTAGAACGAACACGATTTTCAATATCACGAGGTCTAAGTATTGCTATATTTCGTGCTTTGAATGTATCCATAAAAGTTGACAAGCTGGATCATCTTTACGCTTGTTAGCTGAAATAGTAAAAGGGTATGAACTGGTTTCATTTGTAAAACAAACAGTTAACAGCTTACTTGGTTTGTTCATTCTTAACTTAGAATTCAACAAAACAACAGTTTACTTGATTTGTTCGTTCTTAACTTAGAATTCAACAGAATGACTGTCCAAGGCTGAATGAACATTTTCCAAGTTTGTAAAAGTCATACTGATCTGTAACTTTGTATCTAACATTTATGAACAGGTTTTAAGAAAATATATAAGAATTTCAATGAAATAAATTTACAACTTGAATAATGGGTTGACGAATCGAATATACCTTTTTTATTGTTCATTGGGATTTATATTCGAATTACTAATTGGTTATTATTACATTTCTTATGCATTAACAATCAATAATTATATTACGACATATTCAAATTATCGAAACGGGGCTAAATCATAGGTTTTTAAGCGTGTAATTATTTTGAGCCCTTATTTGTAATTATTTTCATTTTTGGCCCCTTATCTGAAAATTTCCCCAATAAATAAATATTACAACTGATGTTAAAATCTGAGACCTTATTTAAAACAATAAAAGAACTTTAAAATTTTATCAACAAAGCCTATCGATATTGATTTTTCACATAAGAAAGGATTGTATTTATTGATTAAACGTTAAATTTATGGTACATCATATTGAAAAGTGCATACATGCGTAGGGTCTTAATTTGCTTACTTGTGAATTACTTCGTTAAAAAGTACATTTAACTTATTTAATTCATTGTCAAGTATTTCTATTTTACCACTCAACCTAACCACTTCATCAATATTCACTTCGTTGAGAACATATTCCCTTTTATTAATAAGTATTTCCCTTTCACCATTTAAAGTAAGCAACCTTTTGATGTTATTGCAATATTCTTCCTTTTCTTTATTTAAACGTTTGTTTTCTTCACTTAAACGATTTATGCATAATGCAGCTGATGTAATATAAATCGATAAATAGTAAATTAACAAATACTACATATTGTTTATCGTTATTCATTCTATTCGATTACAATCACATGGTCCATTTCATGCAGTTATAATTTTTATTATCATAATTTCTGCCGAAATCTTTTTGGTCGTTCGGTAAATTACCTAACTCTCCGGAAACTTCATTGCTGTCTTCGGACCTTCAGTCCGGAGGCAGTGATGTAATTTACGGAGAGTTAGGTAATTTACCGAACGACCAAAAAGATTTCGGGTAATGAGCAGGTGTCCCAGAAATTTATGATAATAGCTGTAAAAAGCAAATTGTGAGTATAAAAGAAGTCTGAACTGGACTAAAAATCTCATTGCATATAAGGTTTCATACAAATGCAACAAAATTACTCTTATCACATGTTCGTAATGATGCCACGTGATAAGTATTATGCAAAAATATGATTGTAATCGAATGAGATAAATGTTGGATGTTACGTTACCATTTAGTAGTAAGTCTGCCTTGGTCACATTTTTACTTGCATATGGTGTGGGTAAGAGTGATGCACGGAGTTTTTCGCTATTTTCCTTTTCCTTGTCACGTCTTTTTTGCGAAGAAACTTTGGCATGTTCGTTATGAATGCGTTTACTGTAGTTATTGGTGAATGAATAATAATGAATAATCGTATTGAATATTATTAAAAAGATTAAAAGATTAAATATCTCAATACTACAATATTCTTATATCAAATGAGGTGAAAATTTCCATAAACTCATACAAAAATAATCGATTGGCTCTCAGAAATATGTATTCAATCTGCTGATTCTATATACAATACAAATTTCTTCCCAAGATTTTATGATATATCTTGGGCAGTTTGATATAATTATCACAACTAAAATACTAGCGTTAGCGGAACCAATTGATTAATTTGCATGGCTAAGTTCCAGGGCTGATGATTTTCCGAATTTCACGGAATTAATCATGTAATCAAGTGAGGTTGAGTCTAGGGTTGGGGCACGGAAAATCATCACATGGGCACGGCATAGCACCCTAAATCATCACATGGCAATAATTAGTAAATCATAATGTGATGAGTAATATCACGGCCCCGTGCCCGTGTGAAGATTTGAAATTATACTCGCCAACCCAAAGGTTGTACGTGCGCAGAAAGTAAGGTTAATCATTTTTGTAGGTAAAGATTTGAATTCTGAAAGCCCCGGCATAGAACATAAACATGGAATATGAGCATGGTTGAGCTAAAGTTTTGATTAATACTCAAAGGAATCAAAGGTTTTGCTATGACTATACATGCTGGTCAAATCTGGACCCTTAAAAAATAATTGCTAATTATAAAAAATTAAATCAAACAAATAATTCTAAAATTTTATAAATATATTCTCTATAGCTATAAGAATATACTTGATTTATTTAAACAATGATTATTAATAAAATTTTAGAATTATTTGTTTGATTTAATTTTTTATATTAGCAATTATTTTTTAAGGGTTTGGGATTTGTCCGTATAGCTATGACCAACATAGAACTCCAGAATTTGATTTTATCGGACCGAATCGACAATTTATCATCGTAGAAAATCATCGGCCCTGCAAAGATCCTTCAGGCTCGGTACATCCAACTATACCTGGAGGATTGTTGATGTTCGATGTCTGCCATATAGATTCTTGCGTTTCTCCGATAAATAAAATTTCTGACAAGAAAAACAGTCAACAATTTTATATTGAAATTTGGCATATTTGGTGGCGATTTAGTATTACGGTATTATGTGAACACTACATTTTTTATTGAACTTTGCTTTCCTATTATGTTATTTGTTTTTACAGATCCTGGTAAATAATTAGGATTTAGATTAGATACTGTAAGAGACGAAAAGGAAAAACCTGTAAATCATTTCACTCATTGAGTGAGATGATTTACCGTTACAGGTTTTCCCTTTTCGTCACTCATATAAGTGAACAAATAAACAGACTTTAGACTAATTTAGGAAATCTAAATTCCCACATGACATAAATTTCGTACTACCATTTATCGGAATTTAAATTTTATATCAACATACCACTAATACTATAAAAACAAATCTTTTAGTATATATATATATATACCACTAAAATTACCAACCTAAAAAATCCGATCTCTACTCTGCATTGTAATTCATGATTATTTATTACGGTGCCCTACTAAAAGTTTTGATGATTTTAATAATTAAAAGATTCTTGTAGTTTAAGCAATAGTATATAACATTGCATCTAAAACAAATTTTACTCACTAATCAAATTTCAAGATCAGGTGCCTCTAATCCTAACCTACTAGCAATCCCCTAGCCCTAGTAAGATCGATGGAAAACAGAGAGGTTAACGAAGAGATAGGAGTAAACCGTGAATTAAGATGGATATTTATCAGTTTCTAACATTTGCATGTTTCACATTTACGTCTTCAAGCCAAGAAAGGAAACAACGCTTTTCTTCGGATCATTTGGAAAGATCAGTTTTTTTTTCATGACAGGTTAAATGAAAAAGAAATAATATTGATTGCAGAACAGGGAAGTTCGTTGTTTACTAGATCAGAGGACTATGCTATTCTCTTTTGTTTGCATATTGTAGACACTAAAATGGTAAAAACTAATTTATTACGAATATTGATTGATGCGTATATTATGATTTGTTTTTTCTATGAAACCAATTGACTCAATTGCATAATTGTTGACTAATTTTAATCATTTACGTATTGACACATAATTTGAATAGGATCGAATTCGAAATAGTGTGAAATACAGAAATAAATACAGAAATAGTATGAAGAATTAAACGTCACTAGAAGTGAAAAAAACATTAGTCAAATTCACTAATTGACACCATTTACTTATGTACTGCACGTACATACCTACGTACGTACATTGCTTAAACTTTTTGTAACTCAAAACAAACCATTGATAGTGATAAATAAATTGGCATTGGTTTTAAAAAGAATAAACTATTTTTCGGGATCGCAATTATAAATGGCGACCCTATATATAGCAGCCAATCATATTTAGGGTTAGTAAAAATTTTCTTTTTTTTATTATCGTTATGAAATTTAGCTAGTCAATACTGCATAGTAAACAGCTTATTATATAGTCACATGCTTAATTTTGATTGGCCAATCATATAGGGTCGCTATAAAATAATGACAATAAAGTTTTATTAATTTAAATTAAGCACTATTTAACATATATTGATATATATAGATATACTTAACGTTGATAAATTAATTAATATACATATATATAAATATATCTACGTATTAATTAACTATATATTAATTATATTTGTACACACATGTGTCGTACGTATCGGCAAAGCAATCGGCACAGTGTTGGCATTTAAAATATATTAAATATACTTATATTTATCATTTATCATGAACACAGCCTAAACATTCCAATTACTAATTATTATCTCATGATTACTGGTTGGATTAAAAATAATTTATTGTCATATCGGTCATATCAGATAATATTGATTAAACATCTATCTATCGCTATCATTCGTTTTATATAACCACACGATATGTGAAATTCTTTAGACTAGTGTTATCATAGCATTGTGACAGTACCCTTCGAAGAAATATCACTTTTAGATAGTATCAAGGTACTATTCAATTGTGAATTCTGGAAAATATCCCGGTACTAACAAAGTAATCTAAATAAATAATCCTGTTATCCAATTAACCCACATGATTAATGATATAGTTGTTAGGCAAAACTTAATGGTTCACGTTGGAGAAACTGACAATATGTAACGAAACCGGTGAAACTAGAAGCTGGTAAAACTGACAAAACTCTAGGTTGTGAAAACAAAAGTTAAAAATAAAACTTACCAAGCTAAAATAAAAGTTAAATATTTACTATCATCAATATTTTATTTAATTTAGAAGGTGTGCAAAATCATCTATTGATATGTGTATTAACATTTTCTATTTAATTCGAGATTTTGCATTTATTATCTAGTGACAAAAATAAGTTATTCATTTTATTCGCAATAACATAGTGCGTAGGCATAAAGAATTTACTAATACAATTATTCATATGAGCTATTTCAAGTCCATAAATATTCACTATTTAATTTCACATCAGACTATAAATATAACGAACTTCTAATCTTTCAAAACAAGTTATTCAAGGTTATGAATATTTGCCGTATTTACACGAAATAACACCCTATTGCGTTTTATTAAGGCACACAATTCCTAGAAAGCTAAAAATTAACTTTGACGAATATAATCTTTGTCTAAATTAATTCTTAACTCTGAAATTGTGTGTCTTAAAAATAAGTAACTCAAGTTTATGAATATTTACTATTTTATTCATACCTCAACATTTAAATTTAAGCAAAAACAAAATAACCAATACAGTATGCAATATAATTCAATTAATGAATTTTTTATCTTTTTTTTACTAAGCATCTTTTTTTCACATATTTTAATCTGAACATCACGAAAAATGTCGACCTTGTGGTCTCTAAGCCAGAACATGCTCAATTCGTAGAATGCCCTGAGAAAAGTTATAGCAAATAACCGATTTTTTTCAAAGATTCAATATAGTCCAGATTAATGTTGTTAGACGAAACCTAAGGGTTTCGTCAAAAAAAATTTAAAATGACGAAATGACGAAACTGACGAAAGGTGACAAAACTGACGAAAGGTGACGAAACTGACGAAAGGTGACGAAAC